AGTGTTAATTGTGTTATACACATGTTTTTTTTTTTTTACTTCCAAAATGAGATTCTAAGATCATGTGTTAGAGTACCTTGCTTTTTTTTTCAGATTCATGAACAAATTGATAGATGCATTGTGTGGTTATTTCATAACCATGTGCTCAAGGGCTTTGAGAGTTTATACAGTTTTCTCCTGGTCTTGAGGAGTTGTATGTGTGGGGTTTTTAACAAGTTGGAATAAAGCAAGACATACATATAAACATACACACATATATACTCATATATACATACACGCACACATGCATATTCATATATATATACATATATACAGATATACATACCTACACATACACTCTAGATTTGCTGATTCAGTCAATAAATTTCTGGTTCTCATTAAGCAGATGTAAATAGAAATTTAAGAAGGTGAAATCACCTGCCTATTGCTGGTCTCACTGAGCTTCCGAGAGAAATGTAATGATGACTGATAGATGCTAATGAGCCTGGTTTTGTGACCAATATACTCTATACTCACCCCAGATAACAAAGTATTCGTTTAACTCAGTATCTTTTAAGGACTCCTCTCCTGGGGGCCATGACTCTTTTCTGAAGGAGGGGTAAGGAGATTGTTGTCATTGTATGAAGGTGTAACTGAATTCATCTTTAACTCTAGAACTGCCTAGTTCAGCTTATGTGCTATATCTCTCCTGTAATGGGGGAATGTCTTCTCTATGGAATGCCTTTCAATGCTTGGGATGTTAAAATATTCTGCATGTCATGTGGATGGTGTGTTTGGTAGGGATCTGTGGCACCAATCGTCAACTCCAAGAAAAAAAAACTTTGCATTGCAAAGACCCTCTGCCTGTAAAAAGATAAGGCTGTCTTTCACACAGCACTGGGGAAGCACAGTAGTTTGTGTAATTTAAAGTGTATCTATTCTGCAATGGGCCCAAAGGAAATTTGACAACCCCCAAAGCATTATTACAACATTGTTTGTGCTGGCCAGTTTTATGTCAGCTTGATAAAAGCTAGAGTCAATGGGGAGAAGGGAACCTCTCTCAAGAAAATGCTGCCACCAGACTGGCCTGTGGGAAAGGCCGTGGGGGCATTTTCTTAAAGAGTGACTAGTGTGGGATGATCCAGTCTATTGTGGGTGATGCTATCCTGGGTGGGTGCTCCTGGTGTATATAAGAAATCAGGCTGCATAATTCATGGAGAGCAAGTCAGTAAGCAGCCTCTGTTTTAATTCCTGCCTCGAGTTCCCCCCCCTGACGTGACAGACGTGATCAGGGTTTGTAAGCTGAACCCTTTCCTCCCCAAGTTGCTTTTGATTATGTGTTTATCACAACAGCCCTAGGACACTGTTGAACATAGAGGAATATCAGGAACCACCTAAGGTGGATACATTTTAAAATAACCATTCCATGGTCTACTGCACTATATAGAAGTGAGACTAAGTAAATGAAATTATGTGCATCTGCATGGACAATGGACAAAGAGTCAATGTTCAGTGATCAAAGTGAAATTCGTAGATATGTGCAAGATATGAGGCTACTCTGAAAGGGTTTAGAAATGAAAGGTATTACAGTTATTTGTAGATATCCAAGGAACATAAATAAATAAATGTGTGAGTGATGAGTATCAAATTCTCTCTCCCTGGAGGAGAAAAATGGAGGAAGAGAATTGAATCAATATGTGGTGTATAAGAAGCTTAAACCTTGTCGTTTTATTATGAAAATGTACAGCAGCCATGAGAAAATGTGAGTAATGATGGTAGATGGTGCTTTGTCTAACCCTGTGGTCATCTTTGGATACTGTACATATGAGCAATGCTAGCTGGGCTAAGGTGTGTGTGTGTGTGTGTGTGTGCGCGCGCACGCGCCCCTGTGCACAACAATAATGATTAAAGGAGAAGTTATTGAATTGGGAAGTAGAGTGGAGTCATGGGAGAAGTTGGGGGAAGGAGAGGTGGGAGTAAAGAAGATGCAATGCTCATCTATGAAGCTCTCCAAAAGAATTAAATAAAAATAATGCGAGAATACAGTACATTGATGCAGAAATATTAAACTACACAAATTTAGGGATGTCCTATGATATCTATTGAAGGAGAAATCACTTACATGAAAAGCCAAGACAGTTGAGAACCAAAGGTCCACCCATTGCTCTCCAGTTCGAAACCGAAGCCCAAAGATCAAGAGTCTCCTCCCCCTAGCTCTATTTACCCATACGTTCTATGTACCGTGAACACACCCACACGGGAGTGGTCAGTGCTTACAGATACGTAAAATCACTCCCTATACAATGTACATGATAAAATATTTATTTTATTATAAATACCTTTTTTCTGTGTTTGTAGTATATATGTAGAAGAACAAAAAATCAACAATAACAAGAAAAGCAAACATTCCACGGTCCTAGAGCTCAGAGGAGGCAGGATTAGAATTGGAGTCTCTGTTGGTCTGGGTCGGGGGTCTATACTAATTTGTCCTATTTCCCACACCGGAGACATGTCTGTCCTCTTCCTCGTTTGTCCCATCAGTGAACTCTGCAGGAGTCTTCCTCTTGCAGTATTTACAAACTGTATCACCTTCTTTATGTGTCTATTATTCCAAAGGCTCATTGGCTCCCATCTGGAATAACGCTCAGTGCATCATTGACTTTTAAGCAAATGTTTAGTGAATGAAGTAGTAAGAATGGCATGACTAGGAAACTTTGTAATAAGGCAATAAAGAGTAGATGAAAGGAATAATAAAGGAAGCTGGCATTAGAGTGTTTAAAAAAGTAGATTGGAGATGATTTCACAGCTTCTAGGATAGGACACAGAAGAAGAAGATTAGGAGAAGTTCTATGACATGAGCATGACTGGACTGTGAGGGTTTACTGTCCATTCCCAAGCACTGCAGGTGCTACTTCATGATCCTCCTGAAGCCCTGGGAAGTATGTGCTGTTATTACCACACTTGTCCAAGGATGAGGATCAAAGGAAACAGGCTAAGTAGCCTAGCTGGGATCTAAAGCCTGAAAAAATATGCTGTCCCTCATGATAGCAGGGACTTAAAAACACAGATAATGAATAAGGGTGCTGTAATCTCTTTTTAACACAGGGAGTGTTAAACATGTAGACGGTGGTGAAACTTAAGGCAAGCCTGTCCTACCTCTTTGCTAACGCTCAGGGAACTCTGAGGATCAAGAACCAGGGGGAGTGTCCACACCAGACATTGGGAGTCAGGATCATTTCTGACTACTGCAGCAGAGTCAGAAATAAATACAACAGATGAGAAATTAGTCTGCTCCATGATGGTTCTAGGACATCTCTAAATAGTGATCGTTGTGGTTGTCCATATTATACATGGTTGATAATGGTTACTGTACACTTGGAATACTATTGCTCTTGCTTTAATTATCATTTTCTATGGAAAAGGTTGGGGTTTTGTTGTTGCTCTTGAGAATTTTCCTATGCAGTCAGTTGAAGCCTAGTTGGGGTTCAAAAGACTTAGGGGACAGACATGGTGTAGCTGCAGGATAGACACCTGGAAAGATGCCACTGGAGCCAGGGGTGGCCGGGAGGCAGAACAAACCCTAGAAAACTGAGTGACCCAGAAGAGAGAATGGGATAAGAGGCAGAGAGCAGGAAGTAGGAGGCTGCAACTTTGCTGGTTGGGGACTAGTGTCGATCTATCTATCAGTAACCAAGACCCTTCCACAAACACCCATCATCACCCCCTTTCCTTAATGCAAAAAAAGAGGGCTTTGTCACATACTCAAAAGTTGTGTGCAGTCCCCAATATCCCACTGTCCCCTGTGAACCGTTACTCTCTGTCTTCTCAGATTCTACCCATTTCCCAGCCCCAGCGTACCTCTTTCCAGTCCATGGAAGCATACCCAGGGTCTCCCTTTTAGGAACCGGCTTAGAGAGTCAGTTATTACCTTGTGAGTAGTAGCTTTCATCCTGGGTCTTCCACAAACGCAAGTACCAATACATCAACAGATACTCACACAAGATCATGTGAGATAATCACATACTGTCATGTGACAAACTGACCATAACACACAAGAGAGGTTAAAGAGGGTGAAACACTGTGTATGCAGTTTGCAGCTTCAAAAAAAAACATAAATACTTTTCAAACCCTAATATATAAAATGTTTCCTGAAATGAGGATGAGAAGGTTTCCATTTGTCTTGGAAGATGGTCCAGTGTTTCTAGGTTTATGACTCTAAACAAAATGAAATTAACCGTTCTTAAGATTAACCATTGATCCACTGCTATGGGTGGTCTTATTGGGGTATACAGGGGCCATTTCAGACACAGAGATGTGTTTGAAACCAGAAGAAATGACTTCTGGCATGTAGCCCTTTCACCAGCCAATAGGGAATCTTACTTTAAGGATACTGGTTTTAGTTCACTTTCAATTTTCTAAACAAAAGTTCATGTATTTTCCTTCATTGGGCAATATGGATTGGAAAAATAGAACACAGCAAAAGCAAACAAGAGGCAACTTACTGGAACTAATCCTATAGCGTTATCAGAAAATACCAATTTCCCCATCATTATTCTATTATTAAAAAGATCAGTTGGTTATCCAAGAAGTATAGTGTGAGACTTAGTTAGCCTTAAAGGACATCTTCAACTAAATCCTTTTGCAAACTGACTGCAAAGCCCCTGCCAGGCGCATCCCAGCAAGTCTCCCTGGGACCACGTTGCTAGAGTTGTTCAACCAAAGCTTCCTGTAAGATCTGGGTGGAAGCTCTCTGTACTTACTTCCAGATGGTTCTGAGATGTCAGGGAGGGTGTGAGCTTCCCTGGAACTGAATTGTCCCATCTATCCCCTTTAGCCCCTTCCCATTAGACCTCAGCCTTCCTTTCCCCTCTTCCTTCCACCTTCTATCAGAAGCACGACAAACATCACCCACTGGCAGTAAGTCCTCCCAATTCCACCCACAGTAACACTAAAGAACACACATTTATTTGTTTTAAAAAACGTACTTTGCAAAAGGCTCTCTCAAGGGAAAGCATTCTCACCTTCTTATTGCTAGTCCCAGGTGTATTTTTCTTTCAGACCAGCTTCTTCACAGAGGACTACACATTTTGTTGGTGTTTCTCAAGAATGTTCAAGACCTCTTCACGAGTCTGAAGAGCTACCTGAGTTTGCAGGCAGCTTCCTGTGGGGGTCACGGCTTGCAGATTGAACTATTGCTTGTTGTGCAGAAAATGGGTAAGGTGTTTGAGAAAACAGGAAGCACCTGCCAATGTGTGACTTTATTCTTGGAAGCAGAGAGCTCCCTCAGAGGGGAGCTAGATGCTTCTTGCTGCTTCCCCTATGAACACTCTCTGATGCTGTGATGCGCTCTAGAGACCAAGGAGAGACAAGTGGGCAGCAGGATTATTCAGAGACTAGGATGGTGGACATCCATCGTTTTCCTAAGTCTACCTTTTTTGCTGGAGAAATGGGTATGCATAGACATGAAGCTATGTGTTATTTGCAATGGGGAAATTCCAAGAAAATGAGAATTGGAGGCAACATATTTGCTAGTGTTGCAGATTTCTGTAATAGCAACGTGTGTTCATTAATTAATTAGTTTATTCAGTGAACTTGCTCTGTGTAAAGCAGTAAGAAAGGCCTTAGAAATATACCGGGGACAGCACAAATACGATGCATCCCTGTATCTCATTTTAGTCCTAAAATTGCTTATAAGGTGCCATATTTCAATATTCATTTAAAGTGTTTAAAATATTTTATTGAATGTCATTTTATTTAACATGCATGTGGGAGGGGGATTGTGCTTACTTATTCAGAGGTCAGAGGGCAACTTGCAGGATTCAGTTTTCTCCTTCTATCATGTGGATCCAGGGAACCCAATTCAAAATATCAGTCTTGAGAGTAAGCACCTTCATTCACTGGGTCAGCTCAGCCTTTTAAATTTTCATTTTCCTACTCTTGCATGAATCTGTATGATGTTTGAGTTTAAAAGTTCTAAGCTGTTGGCAGTAGCTAGCAACATCTACACCAAGCAATTAGTGCCCCTGTTAGCTAATCAGATTAACCAGATTTCTTGATTGAAGGTACCACACCTAATTTCTACCTTGCAAAAACATGTGTGGCCATAGAGAAATGGATCACATATACTCCAAGAGCTATTACCTACCTTGCTGGTTTGCATAGGTTTGGTAACTGTTTTCACACCTGGGGGTAGAGGCCTCGTGATAGACACAGGTAAATAATGCAGTTCTCTTCCTCATTTAGGTAGGTCATGAAAAACAACATACATGGATGTGTCTTGACCAAGTCATTTTTGTCTCCAAGGACTTCAATGAAGTGTCCTGTGTATCCTCTCAACATATATTTGACATTTTAGGCAAATCTATTTCCCACTTCATATGCAAAAATCAGAAAATCACCCCACAAAGGAGGTTACAGAACTGACTCTTTGGTGGAAATCCTGGACACGCCTGATTTCCTTGGGTGTCTGAAGAAAGCCCTGCGGGTGGAGGGATGACGATGCAGGCTCAGGAGAGGAAACCTTTCGACACTTTCTCTTGCTAGGTACAGAGTGCTTCGAGTGAACTCAGAGCAGGCAGGCAGTGCCCTGACTTCCAGGGCCAATCCTTGAGAGCTGATGTTACTACAGCTGGATAAGATTTCAAAGCTAGTTTGACTAGCTTTTATTCACACTTGTAGTATATATTAAGCAATGCCTGCAGGCGAGCCCTCTAATCTTGCCAGTCTCCTCAATTTGAGTAACTGTTTCCTGGATGTCTGTGGCAAAGCTTTCTGGATTATAGACGGCCTGATTGATTGCTGCCCCTACCTCATCCACACTCTGCCTTTCACAGCTAAGCAGAGGGGGAACCCCAGGATACCAGAGGATAAGGAACTCCAATCTGTCAGGGGGTTGGAGGTCTTGGAGGGCGCTCAGTACACAGCATGCTCTTCCAAGTGAGTGAGAAACATAAGAAGAAACACTTGTGAGTTACAGTGTACTTGCCAAGATGAAAAAGTCTCATTTTCATAACATCTTAAAGAAAATATTACCCTGACTAAAGAAAAAAATCCAAGGTCTAAAGCACCAGCCATTAAGCAACAAACTAGTTTTTTATTCATGCTTTTGAGATAGGGTTTCTCTACATAGTCCTGTAACTCACTATGTAGACCTGGCTGGTCTTGATCTCACAGAGATCTATCTGCCTCTGCCACTCGAGTGCTGGGATTAAAGTAGTTTGCCACCATAGCTTTCAAGGAGCAACCTAAGTTTTGAATTGGTAATGACTCCCTGAAATGGGGAGCCTGGAAAACTGAAGGAAATGACAAGAAAACTCTTTTTCAGTGACCCTGCAGGCACAGGTGTAGCTGTATAAATGTTGTAATCACAGCCCTTTGATGGTTTGGATTTGAAATTCTCAAGATAAACATTACCCATTTGTTGATAGGATACACAGAAAGAAAGGAGACTGAGGAGGAAGAAGTGGGCTTAAACTCCAACTCTGCCACTTACTAATTGCATGAACTCAGGTGGGTTGTTCAGCATTTTTGCAAGATCAAGTTTCCTTTCTTGTAAATGGAAATAATTTCCACACTTACCTCAAACTGAGTTATGTAAAGCACACAGACAGGGCATTTATCTCCCCAGGTCCTGATGTTGGTTTGGGACTTGAGCCAAGAGACCTAAGATTGACGCTGGAAAGGTCACCTTAGTCCCTGGTACTTTGACACCAACAATGAGAAGGTTATACACACCCTGCCTTTGAATGTCCCCCAGATGGCCCCTTCTGAGTGACAGACCATCAACCTACAGGAGGTGCCTCCTGCACGTGAGTTTCCTCAAGTTTGCTTTAGTTATCAGTAAGCAGAAGAAAATATTTCTTCTAAGGTTAGAGTGAAATTCAAAAGTGACCAATTAGCTGCTAAGTCTTAATTTGTTTTGAAGGGCATTTTCCACATTGTGTAGTAGTTACTAAAGGCACTGTCGGGTTGGTAGCATGAGTTCCAGGATTGACTCTATAACCATTTACAAAATGGATGATCTGGGACAAGATACTTCATTTTACTGTTTGTTATCTTTTCATAAAGTGTCAACAATAGTAAGATCTTTCTCACAGGCTTCTTGAGAAGAACTTGAATCCATAGAAGAAAAAAAAGAAACAGAGGGAGAGCGGGGAGGGAGACAGAGAGAGAGGATAAAGAAGCAGAGACAGGGGAGGGAGGGAGGAGGAGAGAAGGAAAGGGAGAAGAAGTTTTTCTCTAAGTATCCTGTTTGCCCATGGTGGAGATATGGTCACTTATGTTTTGAACAAACTCTAATGTAGCACCTACTATGTGTCAAGTGCTATGCTAAGTTTTAGAGATAAAACAATATTCCAGATTGCTGGCTAACTGGAAAGCACAAACAAGCAGACTGATTATCACTGATTGACACAAAGATGTGCTGGAAGAGGACTGAGGAATCAGGAGAAGAAATCGGAATGTAGCACTTGGAAGAGATAAAGTGGTAGGAATGGGTGATTAAGGGCCTTCAAAATGAGTCAAGCTAGCTCAATTCTTATCCCATAAGAAATGCTGTGGCCAGATGGGAGGGATTTTTTTTGGATGTCATTTCCCAGCCCATAGCTTTCAGGCTCCTCTGCAGGAGCTGTTATCATTCCAGCAGCAGACCACATTTTCTCAACTGCAATAATCCTGCCTGGAGTCGGCAGACTTGATGTCTTATAAATTGAGAGAGATGATGTTCATGCTTCCTTCTAACCCTCATCATGAGAATTGAGTTATGTAAAGCATACATAACAGAGCAATTATATACCCAGGATGGATTGAGACTTGAGGTTGATGTTGGACAGGTCACCTACCTTGAACAACTGAAACACAAGACATCTTTATTTGATCTATTGATTTGAACAGTAGTCTTCTCCAGAAATATCATGAGGAGCATGCTCTGCCCAGGCATCCTTTAGCCTAGTTAACACCAAAAATTAGCAACTTCAAGCTCCTAATCCCTAAGGCATAAGAATGTTACTTTAGTAAGAAATAGGATCGTTATGAAAAGAGATAATTTGGATAATGTGAAGGGGGCAACAAAGATAGAAAGAACATTTTTCTGAAGACAGCTTAAGACATTTCTGTAAGGAGCCCAATCAACCCAGGACTTTCTTAGAGGCCTTGGGGGAAGGACAAAGGGGAGCTAGTTCTGTGTCCTTGTTCAGGAGTAGACTTGGCAAGGCCTGTTTGATACTGGAGCAAGTGTCTCATAGGAGTCAGAGTTGCAGTTCCTGGGAACCAAACTTTTCCCCCCTGTGCTGTGGTTAGCAGTCCTAAGGCAGCTGTGTCTGAGCTATGCCAGTATCCCATGTTCTCTTTGCCAGCACTGACTGAGGTCTCTGCTGATATTCCCCACCACGCAAATAGTACATAAGATGCTGTACTTTTTAATAAACTTCCTTGGCTTAAGTCATCAGCTTATGCAAGACCTCCTGGCCACAGCTATTGCTTTTGTCTTCTTTATTTCTCATCCCCAGCCCTCCCATTCAACACCTTGCCATTCATTCAAGGCTCCTCTTCCTGTTGATTTGGGTCCCATTGGGATGATAGATTTACATGCCAAAGGAAGAAAACTAATAAGGCTATAAAAGCACCAGAAGCTAGGGATAAGGCATGGGGCAGAATTTGGTTGCCAGTCCTCAGAAAGGACCAATCCTGCCAACACCTTCATTATAGAGTTCTAACATCCATACTCGAGATATGTGTTATATTGTTTATGCCATCTAGCTTGTGGTACATGATCAAGACAGCAGAAAACAAACAACAAGCAAACGAAGCACTACAGGGCTCTAACTGCATCCAGATTAGTACTGGGGTGGGTTCTGGGTCCTGAAGGGCTCATAATAGTTCACTCGGTGAGTTCGAGTAATTAGTGAACAATTTCTCCATCCTTGTCTGCAATAACTCAGCATCTTTAATCATGAGAAGCACTATCTTTCTCTGTCCTTGTAGTTTATAACTCAGTGAAATTGGGCAGGGGTGATGCAGGACCAGCTCTGAGCTTGCATCTGAGGATGCTGGGAGGATACAGAGGGTTGCACAGTGCAGTCATTCTAGCAGAGGTATCTTCACTAACCCTGAGCTTATGAGAAGCCAGTGCTCACTTGGACCATCTCTTGAGATATGCTA